TTATATAGTTGAAGAAAAACTGGGCTTTGAAATACCTCTTATGCCTCAGAGAGACAAAAAAAAAAAAAAATCGTAGTCTGGTAACTTTGTGTGACTTCTTGTACTTGTTTCACGACTACATTTTAGAGGAAGGTGTAATGTTGTAGCATGTAAAACTGAAAATACCTTTTGTTACCGTAAATGTCGGTCAGAATAACCTTCAAAGACTCAGTTTGGAGCTTTAGAAAGCAGGCATTCCTTTATTGCAGCGCTGGATGCGCGGGGGATCGTTATCGTTCCGTCTAACGTGCATGCCGATATGATTACAGCTTGTGTATAGATCACAAAGTTACATACATATGCATAGGAATTCCCGGAATCGATATACATATTCATTCTGTTTCCTGGAACTAATTATCATATCGGCATACTCATTACGCATGCGGTTTAAGTCTCTGCGGGGCTTCTTTGGGGTCTCTGGTGGTATCTCAACCCCCTGTGGTGACTGTCCACTCCATGACCCACTTCTCAAAAATTCTTGCTACGCATGTTCAGTTCCTTGTTCTTGCTTAATTGGCTCTTACGTGTTCTCAGTCCTTGAGTCTGTAACATCTTTGTAAGCCCGCTATTTGACAGGGTTGTTCTTGTTTCTGGTTCCCTTGTTCTCACGTATATGATACAGTGTTCTCTAAACTATGCAGGCTAAGGAGTGCTATCAGCTAAAAGTCAGGATGTGAAGTCTTCGTCCACAAGTCTGTGTCATACACAGTTATTTTTATACATGTATCGCTTTAAATTCCCCATATTTTTTTTTTTCCTGTAATTTACTGGAGAACTACCACACAAAGCACTGACCTTGCATTTACACCTGGTTTATAGTAAAATGAATCTCAAAGTATATTCTGTTTGTGCCTGCCAAATTCTTTCGCAATTACTGTACCCCCATTGCTTCAAGTATTATGCCACATCAAGTAATTTTTTCCTCATAAAATTACATATTTTTATATGTGAGCCAACATTAATTTCTAAGATCTTTTTCCTCAGGCAGTATCTAAAACCTTCCTGATTATCTGCTTTTCTATTCTGGCAGCTCTTTGCCATTGCTTAGTTGTATCGATACTAGTAGTAAAGTATTTCATGTGCAATTACAAGGGGGCACTTGAGAGAGGCTCATTTTCTTCATTATCCTCTAAGGCAATGCTTTGTTTTTCTCCTTTTGAATTCACACTCATATTTCTTATGGCTGTATTTCATTCTAAGTTTGCCTCTGACTTGAAGTTTGCTGCCATCTTGTTACTAGTTATCAGCTTTCTCATTTAAGTGAATGTAATATATTGTGTCTTTTAACATGCTACGTTCTTTGAGCAGAATGACATTATTCTTTCATCTGAAATACCAAATTGTTTGAGAATTCTATTTAGAGACTGCTTCACAAACATAACTACATACATTCAAGTATTTAAAGGACTTTAGTGGCTTCAGGTCCATCATCTAGGCATCACTGACATTATCAAAACTACTAGTTGAGCTCTTAACTCAAGTGGTTCCAGTCTCCTAAATACCTGTGTTTTATGCCTCTCGTATGCAGAAAGTTCTGTACGTATTGTGCATGTACACAGCTGATGTGCTTATCTGAGCACTTAAAAGGCTCTTGGAGTCCCTGAAACAGGTGAGGACTGCCCAAAAAATAGAGCAGAGAAGTGCAGCAGCGAGGGAGATAAGATGTTCTTGTACAGTGAGGGAATTCAAACAGTTACTGGTTTATTTTTTTAATTAAAAGCTGTATTGTCTACTAAGGGAACAGGAACCTCCACCCAAGTTTTCCCTATTCTGGATGTCTGTGTGATACTTGCAAATGGTGATTACTCAGCGTCCCTTGTGGTACAGATCCAGTTTTCTTATTTTTAGGTCATAGATTTGAATTTTAACTTTCCACATTCTGGGAGATGCCTTACATCTGCACAACGGGGTCATTTCTCACTCAGAAATGCCTGGTTAATATTTAAATACTCGTACAAAGCAAAACAGATTTTGTTTTCTCAATATCACACAATGTGTGATATTGAGCGGTTTTCATGCTTGAATACTTGGATAGCGACATTGAGGCCAGCTTCCCAAGAATATGCGTGGTCTTGGAGTATGGGCTCAGGTCCTTTGCTGTGCATCAGGAAGTACAAACAGTTGGAGCATAAGTATCTCACATAAGTACTATAATACTACACTATCGGCAATTGGGATGTCTCTTCTTTTTTCCCAAGTAACAAGTGATAGGATGAGAAGAAATGGCCTGAAGTTGCACCAGGGGAGGTTTAAACTGGACATTAGGAAACATTTCTTCACCAGAAGGGTTGTCAAGCACTGGAACAGGCTGCCCAGAGAAGTGGTTGAGTCACCATCCCTTGTGGTGCTTAGGGACATGGTTTACTGCTAGACTTGACAGTGTTAGGTTAACAGTTGGACTCAATGATCTCAAAGGTCTTTTCCAACCTAAATGATTCTATGATGCTGTCACTATAGGCGTTGGTAAAAAGTCTCTCCATCTTTCTTACAGGCCCTCTTTAAGTATTGAAAGGCCACAATGAGGTTTCCCCAGAGCCTTCTCTTCTCCAGGCTGAACAACCCCAACTCTCTTAGCCGTTCTCTATAAGAGAGGTGCTCCAGCCTTCAGACCATTTTCATGGCCCTCCTCTGGACCCGCTTTAACTGGTCCGTGTGTTTCTTGTGGTGGGGACCCCAGAGCTGAAGGCAGTACTGCAGAGGAGGCTCTGACAAGAGCGTAGCAGAGGGGCAGAATCCCCTCCGTTGATCTGCTGATCACACTTCTTTTGTTGCAGCCCAGGATAGGGTTGGCTTTCTGGGCTATGAACACACATTGCCAGCTCATGTCCAGTTTTTCATCCACCGGCACCCCCAAGTCCTTCTCTGCAGGGCTGCTCTCAATCCAATCCTCCCTCAGCCTGTATTGGTACTGGGGGTTGCCCTGACCCAGGTGCAGGACCGTGCACTTGGCCTTGCTGAACTTCATGAGCATATACATCTGCTGTTGGCTGCTTTAGGGGCCAAGATGCTTGACCTTGTGGACTTTGGTCTGACTTAGTCTAGATGTTCTTAGTCCTTGACTCAACCAAGTATTGCTCATTGGCCTAATCTCTCTTCTAGGTAGGGGATGATTACCTCTTCTTTCAGTCCCTCTGTTGAGTATATTCTGCTTTCACACTGAAGGTCTCAACTGTGCTTAAGATGTCATAGTACACTGTTCATTTGTCCTTTTTTCTCCTTAGGCTTATGGCATTGTATGGAAAGCAATCGATCGCAGGACAGGAGAAATAGTTGCTGTTAAAAAGATTTTTGATGCTTTCAGGAACAGAACAGATGCTCAGGTGAGAAATCATTGTTCTAACATGTCCTGAAAGATATTTTCAGGATTTATGTCTCTGAAAGATGTTAGTTATTTGACATTATGCATGTAATAATACAGTCTACAGCTATATTAGGATAAAAAGGAGCAGTAAATGTCAAGCTTTGTATATCATGGCATCTACAAAATACCGTTTGATGTCCTTGAGGAAAAAGTGTCTTCATAGGCATGCACAATTTGATTCTGCCTTATACTGTTATGCTATAGAGTCTAAGCACAGAGAGCACACTTGTGACTCTCTAGTGAGCAACTGGGTTTTTCGTAGCCTGTCTACTATATAAGGGTTTCCTCTGCTTTAGAGATTAGGATGGATTTAACACTGTCACTGGAAGACCATACTCTGTTCTATCATTCTGTTGAGGTCATAATAAACTTTTTTTGTTGTTGTTTATTTCTAGAGAACATTTCGAGAGATTATGTTCCTGCAGGTAACGTCCATTTTTCCCCCTCCTCTCTGATCTTTAATTATCTCTGATGTTATTCACATATTTTCTTCCCATTCTCTTTCAAAATGCAATTATCAGTGTTGACAACTCTATTAATTTCTTCTCTGCACCATCTTGCAAAATAGTCTTTCCATGACTGGACAAAACCACCTGAATGAAATGGAGAGTTGGTCTTATTTTTTCTTTGAGACCTGCCCTGTTCTTTCATCGTTTTTAGCAGTATGTCTGCTCTAGGATCACCATATTGACTTGCACTTTTGGTCACTTCTTACTTCTTTGTGGACAGAAAGTGTTTTTCTTAAATTTTAAACGCCATGATTCAGAGGTGAGGCTGGGGTGTGGAAGAGATTGACATGCCAAAATTTTTTTCCTCCATCATGTGGGAAGCAACTTGACCACTTGAAATCATCAAAGCAAAACTAAAAGGAATTCTGTATGGAATTACTTAATGCTGCTCTTGTTTTGATATAATTGACCACACAGTATGCCTAATTACCTTATCAGTAGCAGTGGTATTAAAATTATCTGTCCATTCCTCCACAGACTTACCATGTAGAAATATTAACGTTTTTGAATAGTGATAATGTTGTTATAACTATGATTTTCTAAGGACACAAGCAAGGCAGGGCTTATAGGAAGAGATATTTCCTAAGCCTGTCAAGTTTAAGTAGGAAAGAGATGATTTTTTTTTTTACTTTTTAATCATTCTTTAAGCCTGAAATAGAAGCTGCAAACTTAAGAGCTAAAAACATATAAGAACAATTCCTTAGAAGTTAATTACCTGTAAGTTAGATCATCTCTGGAAGTATAGCACTTCTGCAGTAGATGGGTGGAGGAGGAGTTGGGAGAAGAAAAAGAGGGATATTTCTCCTGAAGGAAAGAATGAATCATTTTGGGGGAGGGAGGTTAATGTGCCATTAAGCCCTTACTTTCATGACTTTTGGTGCTCAGTAGAGTTAAGAATTTTAGTTTTCACCTCCTATTTTTGAAGGTATTTTATAGGTCTTTCTTGAAGTTCAGGACTGAGAGATTGGAAAGGGAAAGATGTAAGAAATATCCTTCTATTGGTAACGGGATGTTTGTCTTAATTTGCTTGTCTGTGCAAATCCCTTCCTGTGCATAGTGATTGCTTAGTTTAATCTGCATGATCATCATAAGGACATTTGATGGACTGGATGAAGTTTGTTGTAATTGAGAAGTGTTGATGTAGAATCTGGGTATTTTGATGATTCTCTTCTGGGTGATACGTAGTATGCTGGTCATTATGCTGCTTGCAGGTTTTATGTTTATTGTTCAGTATAGTTGTAGATCTATTTGATGCATTTTGGGCCACGCTCTAGAATGTCATTTTTGGTAATTACTTTAGTGAGAGCATGGTTCTTTAAGCAAAGATAAGTAAAACTGGCTTTGACAAGATTTTTTTCAAGGTAGGATGGTTTTTAAGTATAGATTGAAACTTTTTCATAACTTTCCATTATCAGTTCCAGGGCAAGACAGTGTGAGACAATGGGGTTTTCCTTCAGTGTGAAGTAAGTTCTTAAACAGTGCTCAAGTTAACACTGTCAAGACTGGTCTACATCTCTAGAAAAATATCCCTTTTGGGTAAAAACTTTCTTCAGATTATTTGGATGGGTATTCTGAATATTGTCTTCAGAATAAATGCAAGGGTATTTGATGGCCTGGGTGTATATTACTGCTTTGTAAGTGAATTTGCATGGGTTGCTGCTGGTGAGTGTGGTGTTTTGTGGATTTTTCTAGATGTTGTACCTCATAACCAATTTTTGTCTTGGCCTCAGAGTCTAGGAAGATGATGCTGTTGTAAGACTGTACTGGAGACAGCTTAATAATATGGTACTGTTTATAACTGAATTTGTGAAGGAGATAGATAAAGAGTCTATATTACTGGTTCAAATATCAAAAAATTCATTTATGTATTTAGATACAAGCATAGGTTTTATGGTGCAGCTGTTTATGATTTTATACTCAGGGTAATTCATGAAAATGTTGGCATATTGTAAAGTGTTCACATTGTCTCTAGCTGTGCAGAAGTGTTAGCTATAGGAAATAAAAGTTGTTAAGACTGAGGATGAGTAAATGATCTTGACCTCCAGTTTAAGATATCTGTGTTTAAGTATTTCTTTGTATGCTGACTGTCTGATCTCCCATTACAGTCAGTTCAGTCAATGCATCCTGTAGAGCATTTCAGCCTACCCTCAAACAGACGCTTTCTGGTTGGTTGGGTTTTTTTAATTATGAATGTTAATGGCAACTTTATTCTATTTTCACTGCCACAATAATTCTT